AATCGTTCTAACTAGTCTTTCCTTTTTGTTGCAAAAGTATATTGTCAACCATTAAACCTTCTAATTTCATTAATAAAAGTCGAACCACTCGACGGTGGAAGGTTAAACTTAAAAATTTGATCTTATCAAATACATTCTGTAAAAACCCTTGAATCCTTGGAAGCTGACTCACCGCACGTATCTTAAGTTATAGCAAAAGAAAGTCGTGAGAGTCTCCGAAGATATGGTGCAAAGCGTGCCAGGCGAGTCAATTCAATGAATCACTTCATTCCTTCTTTTTCTTAATACTACTTAGTCATTTCCCATCATATATTTCTATACCTCATATTATATCTCTCAATAAAAAAACACTCCAACCAACAACAAAAAGAAAAGAAAATTTGTAATAAATTTTTTACTTTTAAAGCACACATCAAATTAAAAGTGTCTGAAGAATGGATATCCGAAGCAATTTGCATTATAACTTGAGAAAATATACAAATGGACACCTATTATATCTCTCATCAATTACAAATTGATCGTTCAAACGATCAGTTACACGTTTTAAAACCCAATTATTCAAAAGAAAGAATCAAAAAGCCAATTTTTCTTTTTCCCTGTATAATCCAACACTCCATATTGCATGATCTAATAACACATGGGCTAAAAATCGAAAGAAGTAAAAGTACATAAGCGTCGCCCGAACATAGTTATGAAATATCATTGATCCGGTGGCACATGACAGCTGTAATTCAGCGGCTAGCGACCACTTATGGACACTCCTCCGGACGATTATCTCATATGGAGCGAAGATAGGTCCGCGCGCGCGATCCGATTGAATCGAATCACGCCGGCCAACCGCGCTAACGCATTGCTAAGCCTATTAACACTCTAAGTAAATAGCCTGTGTAATCCGATTGCGTCTAGAGTGCTTACTTTCGCACGTTTTAACCATTAGCCGGTCCTTTTGCGATCGGCAGCAGAGAGAAAAAAAGTCCTTTTATTTTCGTACGGTATCGTTTCGCGATCATACGCCGTCGGTGTGTACAGCTGTACGTCTATTGTTTGCTTACGAACGCGCTCCCATCCTCGGAAAAGCAGATCGTTTCGCGTACGTGACAATATTTGCTTGGTCTTCGAATGTGGTTTGGCGAATCACGCGTCAGATGCGATCGAATAACGCCGAGTAGCCTACGGGACGTTTACTGGAGGATTGATGTTGTTTGCAGTTGCTGATTCTGTCGGCGACAGATCGTTTAAGAGAAAATCAGATGAAATTAACAGGAAAACGATGCAACATGTATGAAGAAGATTATAGAATATCAGATACCGGCTCCATGTGGTCAGGTAAAAATTCAATTGCCTTCTCGACGTGCCTTCGTGCATGTTTCTCTTGGAGTACGATTCGGAGCTTGGAGTACGATTCGGAGCTTGGAGTATACTTAAAAGCTTTTACTTTGAAAAAAAGAAATTATTTTTTCTTGAGAATAAATTTGAATTTTTTCGGATTTCAAGCGTTTTCGGCTTTTCGAAATTTGCATCGGTGTACCGTAATTGTATAAAATATTTGAGAGACACTGAAATTGTACTTGCATTTAATACGATTATAATATTACTGATAGATGTAAGGAAAATTGGTAAAGTACGCAATGACTGGAATAAAATTAAATAAATAAGTATTTTGTAAACTAAAAAACGGAATTGTAGTATTAGTATACAGTAATTATATTGATTATTTATAAACTTGATTGAAATACCGAAAATAGTGATTGGATAGAAATTTGTTCCTTCTATTGTAAAAAATATTTTAGTAATCTGCGAAAGGATTAAAGGTTTCATCACGTGCCATTAAATTATATAGCGGAACAGGAAAATGAAAATTTGGTTACATTTTTATATTCCTTCGATTTGACAAGTTTGTTAATTGACAGATAAAACATTATTCCCAGATTCTGGTTTCTTGCAAGGCAATATGCGGTACCCAATTAATATTTGCGTAAACATCCGCAGTTTCACTGTATAATTAACCTGTTGTACATGAAAAGGAAAAAGCTGTCATATTATAGAAGTTTATAACTAGCCGCCGAAAGATTATGCAAACAGTCATTTTCACATAGTATTTTAATGAGAATGTCACTAAGTAAAGTGTAGTTTCCTCCACGATTAGTTTTAGTAAATAAAACTCAAACGAAGCAAAGTAAAATTTCAATACAGTTTCTATTCTATTTATTCTTTTCATACTTTCAATCGACAATACTTCAATCATTTGAAACGAGTAATTATGAGACTCTTCGAACAGCAATCAACTTTTTACACGCAAGCTAAGTATAATAATTTCAGCGTCTATCGATCAAACAATGAGAGAATTCTTATTTTCGATCGGAAAGTTATTAACGCGAATCCCTAGTAATATCGATCCGCGATATCCTAAAGACTTATAGCCCTATGGCAATCGAAGAGGGATAAATTGCTCACGGTAACTTGAATTTAAATGTTCCCGGCACCGTTCGCTATTTAAAGGATTATCGGACTTGAAGAGCGGCTTGGAATCACATCGATATTTATTCTGTTCAACGGGGCGGATAAAGTGGCGCGTTGAAAAAGAGCGGATTAAAGAGAACACTCCCTTGAGAATTGGCCGCCCCATGCGACATGCACACGCTCGAACGAGATACGTGTTTACAGCGTCCACCATGCCGGCGAACATTTAGATGATCTTGCTGATATTCCTTATCTGCCGCGCGCGAGGATAGTGTAAGCCTAGGTTAACGCGTCTTCGTATTTTAAGGGCGAGATAGGACCGCTCTTATCTTTACTAGCGGCGATGCTTCGCTTCTGTAACCACCACCGCACGAGGATTTTACGAAGTTATATAAGAGGATATTCTTCGTCGTTACTGGCATATTTCCACGAAAATTTCACCGCTTTAAAGCGGATACCGTGGGTATAATTGCATTGCCCTTAAAGAATCATCGTGAACTTATTACCGAGGCTCCTGGTGCTCGAATTCTTGCACTATCGGGGTAATCTTAGGATTGATATTCTTTACTCGATGATCTTGAGTTAAGTTTTTGATTGTTCTGAAACATTAAAATAGCATAAGATTAAAAACGAGAGTTACTTTTTGTTTTATAATATCATTACTGCAATGATATTAACATTAAATGATACTTTATGAAATTTTTTATTTTTGTCTTTGGTCTGCGGATAGTTGGAGAATATTTTTCTATTTTAACGCGAAATTATCGGATTGGTTTTTTTTTAATATCACTGACAAATCTGATGAGTTTGTAAATTCTTTTGTTCTTCATTTAGGTTTTATTTTCTAATAAGAGCATAAAATTTGGAGAAAAACATTAATACTACAAGTGTTAAAAACTTATAAGCAATTTATCACAATCTTAAATGATCCATTTCAAATTCTGTATTCTATAATTACATAAATCATAATGGCACTCTGGTATAAATGTATCCAATATATTCATTGATTTGAATAAATACTATAATGACAGTGACATAAAATTTTCATACATTCACTTTTACAACATTTATAAAAAATCAGAAGTGAGTCACCATCACTGCCTACTAGTCCATCAACTATTAAATTCAAATATCTTCCCATCAAACCAATTCACGTTCAGTAACTCCTTTTAATGAAACAAGTCACGTTATTAACAAACATGCGAAAATGAACATTAATTACTTGTCACGAAAACTGGCAGACGTACTAAAAATACTACTTACCACTATTTACTACCACTCATGAATGCACTGAGAGTGCCCATCAAAGTATGCAAGACAGTAACGTGTTAGCATTCGAAAAGGTAGTCGACCGTTTACTTCGAGCGACTTGTAATCATCAATAATAGAGATCGAATGAAAAAGAAAGGTGATGAGGGGTGGGGAAGGGGAATTTCTCAACGGGCTTTCTAGGTTCCCGATCCGTCGCCCTGTTCTTAGGGGTACTGATTTAGGAGGGTAGACGTCCGCGCTAGGGGAGAGTACGAAGAGGGTTCCGATATAAAAGATTCTTTGGGAACCGAAGCCAAGATTCGATCACAGGGCTTTGTAAGACTACCAACTCGACTCGACTCGGCTGCTGCCAGACACTGCCTTCCTTCCACTAGCTATTTTCTCAAGGCTGACTGTTAACGACTCATCGGGGAAACCTGAAAAGCAGAGTGTTCGTCCTCTGGGAATGTTTCGCAGATTTCTCGGGGCTAGACGTTTCCATGCGAGGGGATCATTTATCAGACAAGGACCGAGTAGAACGGGGGGATGATACTCTCGCGACGCATTCCGTCCGTGACAACGTCTCGTTTCATGGAAACGATGTCGAGTGATTATTCCCTGGGAAGATTGAGATTTTCGAGGATGGATTTTGTAGCGGATTTTGTATTTTACTTTGGAAATAAAGTTTGACCTGAGTTTGACCTTGTATAAAGTTAGCTGGAGAAGTTAAAGTTATTGTCTAATGTTCGCCGAATTATGAAATGAAATAATATTTCGAATATGCAGACAGTAATTATTGTATTAATGAAATGAATACTGCGTTGAGATTTTCATAGCGTTTCTGTTTTTATTTGACTATTTGGTGGTAATTGTTCTTGTAAATGTCTATATTGATTATCTTATGAGAATTGGATTTGTAGGAATGTTTGATTCGTTAATAACGATTTATGTAGGTTAAATACACATTGAACACAGTTAATCTGTACTGATTGTAATGTACACTTGAATGTTTCGTTTCACTGTGTTGTAGACGATATTTGTACACGTCATAATACCTATAGGCGAGATAAGAGTATGTAATTCGAACAAATAAAATGTTTTGAATGGAAACCTCTATAGGATTTTATTTCAAGTATGTTTTATGGGAGTGAATTGGACTATAAACATTCCAATTTTTATTGTTCGAATTATTTATCGCTTTTAAGATTATTATTCCTAGAGTTATTATTCATGCATACATTTTAATGGACTAACAAATGATTATGTTTTAAACGATTTTATTTGTTCAGAAGCGAGAGAGATCGCCTGGGAAAAGAATGGATCGACTTCGGCGGAGTTTTCGAGACAGTTTTCGACGACGGAAAGACCCCCATGTACCGGAATCGAGTAAACCCCACCAGTGGCAAGCAGACGAAACGGCTGTTCGTTCGGCTACCTGCGCCTTCCATGTTAAGGTACTATTAATTTGTTTATTTTATATCTCGGAAAAGAATCTGTGACATGAGAATAAAACAGGCGTGTACCGATAATTATATCGTGATTATGAACAGATTATTATTTTTTAGAAATCCTAGTTACTTAACGTGTGATGCTAATATATTAAAGAAGACTTTCCATTTTATACACTGGTTAGAAGGATATTTTTTATTTTTTATTGTTTAATCTTCAAGTTTTACTTTAATATTTTGTCGATATAAATAAGGAAAATGCTCTAAAATAGATAACGTTAAAACCGATATCAATTTTTGATAAGTTAAAACAGTTAAGAGTTTTAATTAATTATAAAATAGTTTTCGTTTAAAATGCTGTTAATAATTAACATATTATTCTAAGTTAACGTACGAAGAATAAGCAATTCTTTGAAAGACGAAGAAACCTCCAAACTTTTAAATGATATTGTACACTGTATTATCATTATTGATTTTGTTAACTGTATATACGTATACGAAGGGATTCATGCGACACAACAGTCTAAAATAGAATACGTTTGAGATCATAAAAAAGCACAAAGTATGCTTCCTTTAGAAATTCTATTATTAATCGAATAACTTTATCAACCTTATCATTACAGTACCTGGGATGTGTCGAAGTGTTCGAATCAAGGGGTATGCAAGTGTGCGAGGAAGCTTTAAAAGTACTTAGAGTAAGTGACAGTTACGCGAATAAAACTTCGTACAAGGTGTAAAAAAACCTGCAGAGTAGATCCTTGATTATCCGATTCAATTGAGCCACTAATAGTCTGGATAAATGAATATTCCAGAAAAAAATCTTCTAAGCATGTTTACAAAATTCAATTTCGTATATATTTTGAGGTATAACTTAAGAATCCGAATTATTAAATTTGTTGGTAGCCAATACCCTTAACCTCCTGTCCTATAACTTTTTTCACAACTGTGCTTAATAAAACTACTTTATCATTAATAATTTCGCAGGAAAAGGAAAGAATTTAATGCTTATTCTATGTCCATGTTTACTGCAAAGTTTAAAGACAGGTAATAGACAAGTATTATTCAATTTGTATTAAAAATAAATAAATTAGATTTAGTTTTAAAATTTTCATCATGAGTCTGACACGATAGTATAGGTGAAGAGGTTAACGGAAAATAGTGACTCGATTAATCGAGGCTTTACTGTACGATATATGGAGTAAAGCTCGCAGTTTAATCTTCTTTCTCTGTAATGAACTGACAGAATTCGAGACGACGACCGGTTCGAGCAGTGCTACACGTGTCCGGGGATGGTTTAAGAGTTGTCGAGGACGAAACGAAAGGACTGATCGTCGATCAGACAATAGAGAAAGTTTCGTTTTGTGCTCCAGATCGGAATCACGAGAAGGGATTCAGTTATATTTGTCGGGATGGCACGACCAGGCGGTGGATGTGTCACGGTTTCTTGGCGTTGAAAGAGTCGGTGAGTTCAAAGATACGCATCCGGAAGTACAATTGTTTTTTCATTTTATATCAACTGTTCTTTTCGAGAAATTTAGTTTAGGAAGAAAATAAATATTAAATTTTCCATGTGAAATATTTTTCTCGCGTCAATTATAAAAACTGTACAAATATTTCTTGCAGGACATAAAAAAAATTAAATTTAGTAAAATTAGATTTATTCTGAAAAAAATATCAAATTTCCAATGTGAGATGTTTTGCGTGCGTTAATTATAAATGATATGTGAATTTTTCTTGTAGAAACTTTCAAAAATCGAGAGAGATAACACGATTTTCAGACTTGTATTCAGTATATTCACATCTGTAGAATTTCATCTTTAAATATTGAAGTGCATACATTAGAATTGAAATTTGTTGAACAGTTTCAGTTGTGTTAATATGAAGATTAAACATTTTAACCAGTTAACTGCGTCTGACGAGTATACACGTTATCTTAAAGCTTGAAATGATACTAATTCGTTCAACGATGAATTCTTTATTCTTTCAGATAAACATGTAATTCTTCTTTGTTTTGCTTCGGTTTTTCATTAAGATATATTCTAGGTGCAGTTGGTCTGCGTTTGTCGAGTACACATTTTATTTTTTAATTTCATTGCGCGTAAATTGAGAGATTTTTCAAACTAAATTCCACAATTAACAGGTTAAAACATATTTTCCTGTTACCTTTTCCAGGGAGAACGTTTGAGTCATGCGGTAGGCTGCGCCTTCGCCGCTTGCCTCGAACGAAAGCAGAGAAGGGACAAGGAATGCGGTGTCACGATTACGTTTGATTCTAAAACCTTAACCTTCACAAGGAGCGGAAGTTTCAGGCAATCGAGTGTTACCGAACGACTGCAGGATTCACGTGAAAGGGCCGTTGGTCAGTAATCTTTGGAATTAATACAAATTAAATAATTTTATTCATAACGATAGCTCTTTAAAGTGAACACAACACTTTACAAATTTCAGGAATGATTTAAAAACTTTTTTATAGGGTAACGATTTGATAAAAATGTATTATTTTTCTTATTACATTGATACAGTGTTAGGAAATATTTAAATGAAAATTTTGAACTTCAAAAAAAATTGGTTTTCGAATGTTATTCGAAATATCTTCGCTCTATATCCTCGTTTACTCTAAATCACTGTAATTGGTAATAGTAAAATAATATTTAATTTAGATTCGAAAAAGTCAAGCAACATTTATATCTATTGTATTCTGTTTGAAATTTTTGTCACGAGTCTGGCACGATACTGTAATGCAAGGAGTTAAAAGTTTCAGTTCTTACAGATGTACCCCCGGTGAAGCAAGTCTACAACCCCTTCGCTATCGAGAGACCACACGCTACTCCCTCGATGCTCGAACGGCAAGGTTCCTTCCGCGGTTTCACGCAACTGAATCAAGCATCTCCGTTCAAAAGACAACTCAGTTTGCGGGTGAATGATCTTCCTAGTAATCTTGAACGCACACGTAGCCACAGCCTTGAACCGACGGATCTGTCGCGATTGCCGTCCGCCATGTCCCACTTCATACCGGTGAAGCCGCCAGGTAAGATCCATCGAGTAATCACATTTTGATAATCATTCGATTATTTCTTCGAGTAGGCTGGACACAGAATAATCTGCTTCTTCGTTTTTACAACAGAATTCGAAGGATATGACGAAGGTCATTATTCCCTATTCTGTTAAGTGTCCATGTTGCCTGCCCCTTCTTTTATGTTCTAGGATCGTCCTCGTTCTATGGTTAGAAATACACGTTGCAATGAGAAACTAATTCTTTGAAGGAGAATGATGAGAGTGAGATTTTAAAGAGACACGAGGAAAATAACTTTCTAGAAGAAAATAAATAATTATTCATTATCTAAACAAGAGTTTAGAGTAAGAAATTTGTACTAAGGAATAATTGAGGAAGATTAATTTAACCTTGTTTCCGAACATTTCTCATTGTATCGTGTCTACTTAAACAGTAGAATGAAATGAATAAATAGAAGGAAGAAAAACTGAAGCTGAACTCTTTAATACAACGTAGTTAAACCTTGTAGCTTTCTGACAATCCTTTTTCAAACAATTCCTCGTCTTTGTTTAGGTACTGTTTCCTCGTTCAGATTCTTTCTCTAGAAATCTCCTATCTGTAGGTTTCCACTAGACATCTCTGACAAGTGTTCACGTGATCGTGCAGCATGTTCTTGTAGTTTTTGAGCATCCGTTCAGAGCACCAAGTTTAGACAGTGTTTAAGTTAATGTTTAGAATTCTCAGCGTGTGAAACGGTTGGTAGAGTCAGTTTTATGAATGTTTTTACAGTTAGCCCGATACCTGAGATATCACCAAGTGGCCAGGACAGTGTTTCAGCAATGTGTCAGCAGATTTCACGAGGTCTTTCTCTTTTGACGAACAACGATGACTTCGGTCCGCTGCCTGCTCAGAGCAGTACAAGCTCCGTTGCTAAACAGCTTTTCATCAGCACCACCAGCAGTAATTCTCCGCCAGGTGCATATCATTTAATTTTTAAACGAACTATTTTATCTGTAATTGCAGACTTGAGGTCTTTGAGATACATACAAACAGCAGAAACACGTGGTTTACCTAATTCTGTGATAATATGCGTTCAGTTATATATCGTTTTTTTAGTTAGTATGACAATAACACGAAGTAAAACAACATACGTAATGATGAGTTATGATTTTTACGTTTTTTTGAAAATTTATTGCAGTTTGTGAATCGTCAGACATTAACATATTCTTGTTGTATTATTAATGTCCATATCTTTTCTGAAATCTTCTAAACTTTTTTCCTTTCCATGTTTCGCTTTTCTCAGCATTTCTTCTTGTTCACTCTGCCTTCTACACTTGCCTGAAAGTTTTGTGCAAGTCAGGTTAACGTTATTTCACATGTTTGGCAACATTGTCTGCACGGTCATGTAAATTTTCGATGACTAAATTAAACGATAAACATATTACAAAAAAATTCACAAAAGAGAAGTATAAAACAAAAAATAATATGTATGTGCATGGCGTGCAACATTTCTGTTTGGTTGTGCATAGTAAAGAAGGGACGATAAAAATATTTTACATTTTATGATGAATTAAATAAAATATGGAGCTTTCGCGTGGCTTGTTTATTTGCAGACATTTTTGGAAATATTGCACCCCATAAACTTAAGATTACAATGTTATTTGTATGATCGTTCTACAACGAAAAATTATGTTAAAATTGTGCTATGTACATGTTGGTATATAACGTAATGTAGTACCTCATGTATGATATCAGTAAGGTTAGAAAAATTTTGATTCGAGTGGTAAATATTAAGAATCTGTACATATGCTACAACGTTGTCTTTAATATCGATCGGTGACTATATAGAGGGATCAAACTCGATGACGCACACAAGCATCCCTCGGAGACAATAATACAATCCACCAACCGCCGCTTATTGATGAAAATCGAATTCTCATTAAATTCAGAGTTATGCCATAACATTATCAGCTGACCGAAAACGTTTCAGTAACGAAAATTGCGAGTTCAAACGTGCTATAAATCGAATAATACCGTGGATTAAATCAGTATTAATTAATTTCACTTAAACCGGATATCACATACCTAGCTCAATAAAAATGAGATTTCTATTATATAATCACTCTGTTTACGCTTTAAAGACATTTAATGCATCAGAAACATTGTTATATTTAAGACAATTACTCGTTCAATAAACAATTTTTCTTTATATTTTCAATATGTCATGCGATATTTTCTAATATTCTATGCAAGCCACAAATATGAACATCAGACAACGTGAGGTCGATTATTAAAATTGATTGATTGCCCGATCTCATTTAACTTGTTAAATGTCCATATTTTTAATAGTTTTTAGTGGTATACTGAATTTTGCACAGAAGCCTACTTAACCATTCTTCTTATATGTCTTTCCTTTTGTAAATATATTTCTTTTTGTTATTAACGATATTTATGATGTAAATAGTTTCTTTTAAAAATTGGGCCATCTCTACCCGATTTATCGTAATAACTACCAATAAATTAGCATAAATATAAAACCAATAAGTATAAAAACCAATAATTATCATATTTTATCGCAGTGACTAGCAGTAGCTCCCTGGACGAGATGAAGTTACAGAACGGACCAAGTTTGAACAACAACAATAACAACAACAATAACGACAAGAACGAGGATCTCAGTAATTTGAACCACGTCGGGACCACTTGGCAGGAATCTCCGTCGCCAGTTCTGTCTTCGAATCATCGGCTGACACCGATCCTGAACAAAACTTCCAACATAAGTCCCATTCTTCCAAGAACGAGCACAGCAACGCCGATCGTGATGAGCACGCCGGCGCCAGCTAGCAGTGTTGGTGTGTTTGGTACTCCGCCATCGGCGAGTCCAGCTTTCAGCACAGCGTCCACATCCTCTTTAGGGAACGCATCCACGCCCGCCGTGAACAGGTCACCGATTCCGAAGACAACGTCCCCGACCACCAGCGTCAATTCAGCTTCTCCGGCTCCCTCCGGCAGCCAGGCCACCGATGTTAGTCAGATTAGTCAAATTCCAACGGCAAACACGATTTCTACGACGGCGGTAAGATTTTCATAGTTGTTTGGCACTTTTACAAATTTTGTGTGATTGAGAAAGTACGACGTATTAGATACAATAAAATGTGTCACAGCAGGCCAGAGTGTGGTTAAACGTGCAAAAGAAGTTGAAGATTGGAATAAAGTTTTGTTGTTCGAGAATTTATTTTCGAGAAAATCAATTTTGACCAGTTTTTAAGTACCTACGTTTTTTCAGCATTCAACTCTGTAATATACACTATAGCTTCTATTCGCATTTGTATTTATAAATGTAGTAATAATCAGCATTGACCTTCATATACATAATTTTAGTTGCGTATTAGAAGTAGGAAATTAAAGAATTTACAGTAATTGAACTTTCCCCCAGATATAAATTTACCTTCTACATTCTTATGTATATACTTCTTAGTATCGAACAAAATATAATTCAAAGCAACGCCATTTTCTCAGTTATCTTGTACATGGATTGTTCAAAACCAATGACCAATCTTTCATCTAGAAATACACCAAAAAGAGAATTATTCCTTTAAATTAAGTGACTTTATTTTTTTAACCAACCAAACACATTTCTTGTAAACACAAATAAAAGTGAACCACATACTACAACATCCTCAAAGAAAAATATATTTTGTCTTCCATCGTTACAGATCAAGGGAATCAACACAATATCTATTTATAATCAAATAACGTCTCGTCTAGTTTGTAGTTCAACTCTAAGTGATATTCAAGAAACATATTCATGCTTAAAAACCTTTCAACAATCATCTTCACCGTGACACAACGTTTCAGGTTCAACCAGTCTCAGCGACAGCTGCATTACCGAAACCGGAACAATGGCTAGGCAGTATAACCGGCTCGGTGCCTCCGTCAGCGCGATCTCCCTCGCAGATCGGTCAGACGAGTCCCCGACGAGCGCCGCCGCTGCACGCGAGAGCGCTGTCTCTAGGATCAGCCGCGATGAGCCAAGCATCCAGAACAGGGCCATCTGACCCCTTCGACGCGGAATGGGCGGAGATCGCGGCGAGGAACCTGCGGCAGTCGAGCACCACGAACCCGTTCATAATGCCGAACGCAACGCAGGCGTTTCAGGTGCAATTGTAGCGCCAGGAGTTAATTAACAGCGTGGCAAAGTACTTCCATTCGAGCACATAGTAACGGATCAAGTCTGTTCGCGCGTTAGTCCCTCGCGCGACTAGGAATATTCACGCGCGAGTCACTTAAACGGGACTAAGACGATCCCCTCGAGGATCATGATCGAGTGATACGATTGATCATTGAGTCGGGAGAAAAAAGGGGAAAGACGACATCGATCTCGATGAGACGTTTAGTAGCAAATGGGAATGACGAACCAGCACAAAAGTAAATTAGAAGAAACAACACGTACCCGTAACGTTCTTTAGACGAAGTAGTTCACGCACACACAGCCTCGATGACCTTAGTTTCAATGTAAAACACGAGTCGATATCGGGGTAACAGTAAGAGGAGGGACCATTCCTCGTTTGGTCGCCGTTCCGCAACGGTGACGCCCGTTGGGGATCGGCAAACGATTGTCGTCAGTTCTGGATCAATAATTACCTAAATGTCTGTCACGAAATACTTATAAAAACGAGATGCCACGCGGTTCAATCTCGGATAGTTTAGGCTCCCAAAACGATTAACCCCGATGTTCTCTGCATGAAGAAGCAAAATTTTAAAAAAATGAAACACACACGCACCCAGAATTATTCAAAGCACAGTGTTTTCGTCGATAATGAAAATGGAAGAAAAAAAAGGAAGTAATATATGAAAAAGAAAAATATGTATAAACAACTATGAGATGTAAGTAGCTTAGTTTCTCGGCTTCGTGGTGAAAAGATATTTTCTTTTTCGAGAGGCGGTAACAGCCGCGCGACGAGGGAGGGGCGCGTGAATGAACCATTCTGTCGATCGTGTATTAGGAATTGATAACGGGTGGGAGGAGATGTAGCTAGAAATATTTCGATAGACAACTTTAGTAGGGTCGATGAGCTCGTTGACATAGGTCGTGAAGGACTGTGATAGACATCGAGTCGTGGGCCAGTACTTAAAAAAAACGAGGCAGTGGAATCGAGCGGCTGTTGTGGATTTGCTCCATAAGGTGACCACGCCTAGAACAAGGACCCAGGCGCCATCTTGGTGGGGGTTTCTTTCGTTTCCTAGCCGACAGAATACGCAAAACTACATCTAGTTACTTAAGCAGATTAGATTATTAAAAAGAAGTTGTTAGAGTCAGTACGTTCCAAGCTATTGTTGTCTACATATCAAATTGCGGACCGCCTTTATCGCTGGGTCACGATCGACGCGCAAGCTGACGTTTCATTCGACGGATTTAATACCCGCGCAACTGGTGCACGAGGAAAAGAAAAACGAAAAAAAGGTACTTCCCCTGCGGATTAGACAATTATTCACGAGAAGTATTTCGCGAAACTTGAACCAGGGCAAACCATGTACGAAATTGCGTTCTTGCGTGTATTTGCTCGAGGGAATATAATGAGGTTTCGAAGTGAAAAATATCTTTATCACTTCATTTAGTTAAAAATTTAAATAACATCCAAGAACTTTAATTTATCTTTGATTTATCCTTTGGACACTGTTCGATTCGAAATCGAGCTGTAGACCTTAAACAGAACATTTCAATACTATCTTTTTTCAGTATTAAGGCGAAGGATGAAGGTACTACTTGCAGCTTTGTTCCCGTACATTTCTGAAACTTGAAACTGGAATTAGAAAGTTCCTCGCCTATACGTATCAAATAAATTGAATTAAACACGTTACCAACACTTTCTCACGAGTAAAAATTCGTGTACCCTGTCTTCAATTTTATCATCATCTTCAGCTTGCCTGTAGTGCCTCACTATATTCCTTCCATCAAGTACAAACTGTGTTACTGATTGTTATAGCGTATATCACTTGTTAAAATCCCCTAGGAATGAGAGTGGTTCGAGTCACCCTTGTGTTTTCGAGGGATCAGGATCTCTTGGCCTGAGGCATTCGATGCGGTTTAAAGTTTCCTCAAGGTCCTCCGACTCGCCGCTTTCATTCACAGGGACTCGAGGGCGCTTCCGCGCGTCCTGCGTAGCACTGAATTAGGGATTGACACTGTATCGCAAAAGCTTCTTCCATTCAGTTAGCGTGAACCTTCTCGGTTTCTTAAAACGAATTGGCGGTTGAGCCCTTACCGTATGCTTCTTAGTAGCACGGCCGAAGTTTCCTGAAAGAGGGCTGCGGAAAGTTAGTGAAATATTATGGAGTCAGGGTTTCGTTCGGTCAAAACAGGTCCATTCGTGGAAGTTCGGTGACCTGTAATAACGAACAGTGTGAAAACTCGTAAAATAATTCATTCTTTATTCGTTTGTTCGTTCATACATGCATATTTACAGCAGTTCGTTGTGTTTAAATCATTTAACAGGGATATCGCGTAACACTTTGATTGTGTACCATACAGAATTTACAAAGTTAAAATAATATATTTAATAAAACGAAAGTTTTACAGTTAAGATTTATCGTAATGAATATTTTTTTAATTTTCTGGTGTTTCACAAATTATAAAGACAAGATGTTACTATGAAAATTAATTTCCAAATGTAGGAAAAAAATAGATAACAGCTGCTACAGTCAAAGTGTTAATAAGGTACTTGTACAATCACTATACGGACAGTAACATAATATATGGGACCTGCTTCAACGATTAAGTCTAGCGTTAACACATGACGCATGTTACCGTTTTGTCGTTAAACTTCGTGGGTGCTAACAGGCTACGTAATATCCTAATCTAAGCTTGCGAACGCCTTATTATCGATCAGTATCAATTCTCAAGATTCCGACTATTTTTCTCCAGATAGTCGTGTGAAATCAGTGATTTCACGATGAAGCTAATTCAGAAGGAACGTCTCGCTGCATGTGCCTTAGTGTATACGTAGGTTAAGCTCCGGGGCTAATATCGGACAGCATTAATTTCCACAAATAGAATTTCTTATTTCCATACACTAAATCCATCGGTGAACCGGGTCCCATATGTTTCCATTCTGTCTATATTTTGTTTCATCGAAATTCTCGAAGAAATGTTAAAATCATTATTAGTGTGCGGTAAGGGTTGATTTCACGAGTGTAATCGCCATTATCGGAGCAGAACAGGTTTCATCCCGAGATATATACGTAGCAGAGGGGGTACGTGTTCCATGGTCACTTGGACGACTCGTATGTGCGTGTGTGTGTGAGTGTGTATGCATTGTACATAACTTAGTTATTTAAAAACCGTAACCGCAAGGATCGGGTAGGACGAGCTCGAAGAAATCGGGGAGAGAAAGCGCGAGAAGAATAAAAAGAGAGGGAGCGAATGAGTGAATGCATGATAATGTATGCGTGCGAACAAGTCGACGAGCGAGGGATGAAGAAATGCTGTTCTTCGTTGCCGACCGTTCTTTCTTTTTCTATTTTACGTTGTAACCTGTAAGTTATCTTGTAAATAGTCCAGTAGGCGTTCTACTCAGC